AATTTCAATTGACCCGCAGTGCATTGCGTCAAACCTTATCGCAGCAAATAGAAACCGCCGAGCCGCGCCCTTGTCAACTAACCCTAAACACATATATATGTATATACCCGATAAGATAACAACAACTGATCATATGCCTAGTTGCTCATATGACGTTCCCAGCTGGTCTACGTGCGTTTCTTCCAGTCTGCAATCCCAAATGCGTCGGTGCAGCATGACTTGAATCTGGCCACAGCCACAAATCCACTAATAAAACCAACAAACAGCTGGCTTTCTTAATACACTATATTAAAGAGTATTATTATTTGGTCATGAAATGAGTAACGCGTAGAAGCAGAACCCCATAAAGTATATATATTCTAAATCAGCCAAGCTGATGTCTGTTTATGTGGGGACTAATCTGGAAGGTAGAAGTTAAACTATGCTGCTTTTATATTAGTCTAATCCTATTAAGACCGCACTTCCATATATATCTATAGGAGGAATCGGTCTAGAAATTAGTTTTTGTATGGCTTAATATTCTGTTTTCAAAGTTATTTTGCTCAAATTCAGGCTTCACTATGCTCACATATCAGCCAAAGCGTAAGGCAAATGTCTACAAGGGCATTTAATCTTCGGTCTGCCAAAGATATCCGCACTTTGTATGTTGTTCTTTCTTCGTTCTGTGGACTCTGTGCAAATATATTCAAGTGGCAATCAGAACGCTGCTGTCTCAAGTGCTAGAATTCAAAAGGGGGAAACGCTTTTTTATCAGCGCCTTTTGTGGCAGGCATTTGTGGCTGCTGCTTTTCACTTTTGTTAGATAATGGCCGGCCATAGATCACAGCTTCTTGTTTCTCTCTTTTCTAGCTCATTTGAATTTTGATTGATGTAACGGCAAATTGACACACAGTGAAACCCGTTTGTTAGTTCACACAGCGTGAAACACGCCCATGGGACCAGAGCAGATGCCGGCTGCCAGCTCATGCCAAAGTCTAGCCGAATGCCCCCAGCTATACGTAAAACCTGTAAAGGTTTATAAAAAACCAGAAAGGGAAATCATATTCATAGCGCAGCATTCAAGCTTTAAGATATTGCAGCTATTCTACAAATATTGAGGCATTCAAAGACATTTAGCATAATAAATGAGAATGCAGTTATCCAGCCACAGAATCTCAAACAGTAAAGAGAAAAGAATTCAATTTGTTATCCAAGAAATCTTGAAATTAAATTTTCTTACAATATATTCCAGTTAGCTAAAGAATAAATGAGAATGCAGTTCTCCAGCCACAGAATCTCGAACCAGTAAAAAGAAAAGAACTAAATTTGTTATCCAAGAAATCTTGAAACCAAATATTCTTATAATATATTCCAGTTTCCCAAAGAACTTTCGAATTGCCTTGGGCCAGTTGCAGCTTGTTGCAAGCTGCATAAAAAAACAATAAAACACTTACACTAACCTATTGTTAGTGTGTTGTCAGTTTAGATGATTTACAATTCCCGTTAGATTCTGTTGGGAATCCAACCGAGTATTCAAACATGCGCCAACATTTTGGCAGCTGTTCAAGTTGAGAAGGCAATAAGAAGGGGCTAACACACATAATAAGTAATGTGCCATGTATATCTACGAGTACTTGTAGTTACAGGCGAGCAGAATAGAAGAAAAAATCAAGTATATAGATGTGTCGCCCATGCGGCGTATACGCAACGGCTGCCAACTAATCATTTATTTTGGCCCAGTCATAAAGATGGGGCTAAAGCGGAGGCGCTGCCTACCTTCGTCCCACGGATGATGCTGTGTGCTTGTTGGGCTGCGGGCTTTACGTCCTTTTTTGCTGCGCTTGCCGCTGTTGTTGTTGTTGTTGTTGGACTCCATTTGTGGGCCGAATGGGTTTTACTTGAGCTACAAAATACACGCGCGCAAATGAAAATAATTTTATATAATTTATCTATGTTTTATGTTCACAAAAACACACACACACATGCACTGAATGACGCACAGTGGCCACAAGTGACATTTGGCAAGCTCACACACACTAATATACACACACACATACACAAACTCGCACCCGCACAGTCGCCGCGTTTTTTGTCGCTTTGATTACTTGGCGCGTTGAAATCGCGTAGATATATCTATACTTATATCTAGCTACATATAGCTATATATATATATATTTATTTAAAATAAAGATTTTCTCAAGTTATTTTTAATGCGGTGATTTAATTTTTTGACACCAACACAGACACACTCACAAATAAACACTTGTGGCACTTTTTTACTTGCGTTTCAAAAGAGATTTTCATAGAAACTTTTTATGCATCATTTGAATATGTACACATTTACACTTTATATTCTTCAATTATAGTTAATTTGGATTACGTGACAGCGCGTTATTTCTTGTTTTTGTCTTTTTAACAATTTCCAGTTAGTAACTAACTTTTTTTTTTTTTGTTTGTTAACTTAATCAGGCAATTGTTGCCTGCCGCCGCCGTCAGCTGCTGCTGCTGCTGTTGGTCGTCAACTGTTTGGGCAGACCGTTTGGAAACTGGCCGGTGCTGTGTCGTTTGTGTTAGGGTTCGTTTTTTATTATTGGCTGTTGTAGAGTATTTAGAAATCGAATGAGTTGAAAATTGTATGAAAATCGCGCACGGAAATCCGCCGCGTCCATGCGTTGTCGTCGTCGTCGTCGTCGTCGTCGATTGTCGTCGATCGTTTGCCGTGCCGTGCCGAGCGCGACTAATGGCTAAATGGCTGGCTGAATGGGCGACGCTGGCGACTCTGGCGCGACACACGGGCAACGAGAGCTTTTACTTTTTGGACTGTCACTCCGCTGGGTCACACGCTCGTTGGATATACTTATATTCTCAGCCGCCAGCGAGCGCTCAGCGCCTATATAATTGGCTTTTATTTTGTTGTCCGAGTCGTGTGCGCATTTTGCTATTAGACATTATTTTTTATTTGTCGTATTTTGGAAAAGAGCGCAATTGCATTTGCTTATCACATAGAGCTTGCCGATATATTTAGGCATTGTATCTTGCACTAGATGGATTCGTCAGTTGGTTGGCTGCCAACAGCGAAAGAAATGATGAATTAAAGCAGCCGCATCAGTTTGGCGGATTCACTTTGAGTAGCAGCTGCGACCCTGCCTCGCGGTTCGGGTGGCGCCATAAAACAAAAGTTCATCATAAGTTGCGACTCGACAAGTTCAAGTCTGAGAATTGCGCCTACATTTAATGTTCTGCATGTCAGACATGCTGCGAGGAGGCGAGGGGTTCCGCGACCAAGTTCAATTGTGGACTGTTGCTGCCTCATCAGTTGCCCTTTGTGTTTGCCAGCAAACGCTCAAGTGGCAGCCAGGCAGGCCAAGTTTCTGTTTCTGTTGCTGCTGCTGCTGCTGCTGCTGCACAACAAGTTCATTCCACTTGGCATTAAGCAGCGGCAGCGAAACATCTCAAGAATGCAGCAACTCGGCACTGACAGTGAGATGTGATCTGTTTATAGCTAGGCGGCATTTAAGTGACTGCAAAGTGCAATTGCAGTAGCTGTCTGCCAACTGCCTACATAATTATATAGCTCTGATTACGCATAGGACACGCATATCAATCATGCGGACGCGACCTTCTGGCAAGGTTGTGTAATTTTAAATAAATGCAGTTGAAAGTTTTTCCAAACCTCACGTGCACATATCAATAAAGTGAAACAAATTAATCTAACATTAAGTATATAGCTGGCTTTGTGGCCTTATCATAAATCGAGCCGGGAACATTGATATTTGACCTTTGATGAGTGCGTGCATGATTGTGCTCAGTGGTGGGCTATGGGTGGGTGGGTATTAGTTGTAAGCCCGTAATTACAGCAACATGGCAACACATACAAAAGCGTGGTACAACTACAACAACAACAACAACGACATGAACATGAACAACAGCAACTGGATAACAATAGTTCCTGTCGAAGGAACGTGACACACAAAAAACAATACACAATTACAACGACAACAGCAACAACAACAAACATAACGACTCATTGTTAGCGAGCAGAGCGGGAATGAAGCATTGAAAAGGTTTGGGAGTGGGGTACCTACAATACAAACTGCGTCCTCATAAAGCGCGCACAAGCAACGATGATTGACAGGATATAGACGACCCGAGAGAATAGGAGCACAGGCACGCGATGGTTTGGGGCCAGATGGTGGTCAGGGCGTTAATCGAACGCACACACACGTGCATGTGGCAAGTTATTCATTACTTTCATTACTCTCTACACCCTCTCGGAGACGTTTATCGATTTGCCTGCCGAATTGTACAAAATGGGTTTCTATGCATATTTTATGCGCTTCGCTCACTTATTGATTCTATAGCACTCCAAGACGCTGCACATTTATTTAATGCATCAACATTTGAGAAACAAATATATTTAAAGCTTTGGTTGCGAGCAGATGGCCCTCAAAAACCGTTTACACTTGTTAACATATCAAGGACACGCTCTCCGCGCGGTTAACGCGCAACGACTAGCGGCAACAACTGGACTGATTTGATGGGTCTGTCTGGTTGGCTTTTAATTCCCATTACAGGAGCCCGCAGCGCTGGCGCTGTTTTTGTTTATCGCTGCGTTGCGTCCTCATTCCAATTGTTGTTGTTGCTGCTGTTGTTATTGTTGTTGTTGTTGCTCTTGTTGATGTCGGCATTTTTCGTCGCCAGGATGCGGACGCCGTGCGGCAAAGCAGCCCATTGCACTGCCACCGAAACAGTTGCCATTGTAGAGACATGCGCACTGTTCACGTGGTTGCTGTACGGGATAAATAACCAAATTACATTAAACAAATATATTAACATATGTTGAAAAAAGCAACAGCTTTTTAGTGTGTCGTATTCGCAGTTCGGTTTCAATTCGGTTTCAGTGTTGTACATTTGAATTCGATAGTGCGCGGCCGATAAGTAAATCGATAGTTTTTGAAAGTCAATGCGATCACGCCAGCGTTGCCACTTAGGCAACGCCTGTTGCGCCTAAGTGAGGCTGCGCTCGCCCACAGCTGATCAAAGGTTAGGTAACACCCGTTTCCTTGTTCTGAAAAAACATCGACTTCGCAATGGCACTGCGTTTCGTGGCAAAAACTTGCAATACCTTTCTGCATCATGGTGGTAGTCGCCTGCCCGCAGCAGCGCCTTGGGTCCGCACACTAACGCATTACCCGATAAACGATGGTCTATTTGGGCTCGATGAGGAGCGTCAGAAGCTACGGGAAACTGCCTTCAATTTCTTCCAGAAGGAACTGGCGCCCCATGCCAAGGAAATAGACAAGCTGGATAGTTTCAAGTGAGCAATGAAAAAGTTGTACAAAAACTACTCTTAAGATGTGTTAAACTGCAGAGATCTGCGCTCATTCTGGAAAAAGATGGGTGAACTGGGTTTCTTGGGCATAACGGCGGAACCTGAATTCGGAGGAACTGGTGGCAGCTATTTGGATCACTGCATCATTATGGAAGAGATTTCGCGGTAACTTAGCACTTGGAGACTCTTGCCTGTTCCAAAAACCAATACATTTGTACGACTTACAGAGCGGCTGGAGGCGTGGCACTTTCCTATGGAGCACATTCCAACCTGTGCATCAATCAGCTGACCAAGAACGGCACACCGGAGCAAAAGCAAAAGTATCTGCCCAAGCTGTGCAGTGGCGAGCATATAGGTGGCCTGGCAATGTCTGAACCTGGCGCAGGCTCAGATGTCGTCTCAATGAAGCTGCGGGCAGAACGCAAGGGCGATTACTACGTGTTGAACGGTACCAAGTTCTGGATTACCAATGGAGCCGACGCCGAAACCCTGATCGTGTATGCGAAGACAGGCGCAAGTGGTGTCCCGGACAGACATGCGATTACCGCCTTCATCGTAGAGACAGGCTGGGAGGGCTTTAGCGTAGCCCAGAAGCTGGATAAGCTGGGAATGCGTGGCAGCAGCACCTGTGAGCTCGTTTTCCAGGATCTCAAAGTGCCCGCAAAGAATGTGTTGGGGCAGGAGAACAAGGGCGTCTACGTGCTGATGTCGGGTCTGGAATTCGAGCGTTTGGTCCTGGCTGCCGGTCCAGTGGGCCTTATGCAAGCCGCCTGTGACGTGGCCTTCGACTATGCCCATCAGCGCAAGCAAATGGGCAAACTGATTGGCGAGTTCCAGCTTATACAGGGAAAGATGGCAGATATGTACACGACTCTGAGCGCGTGCCGGAGCTACTTGTATGCTGTAGCAAGATCCTGCGATGCTGGCGTCCGAAGCAGCAAAGATTGTGCCGGCGTCATCTTGTACTGCGCCGAGAAAGCCACGCAAGTGGCTCTGGACGCCATACAAATCCTTGGCGGCAACGGCTACATCAATGAGAATCCAACTGGACGCATCTTGCGCGATGCTAAGCTGTATGAAATCGGTGCCGGCACCTCGGAAATCAGACGTTGGCTGATCGGACGTGAGCTAAATCAGGAGTACAAGTGAAACGTTTTTATGCCGTGAGCATTGACGCATTTATGGTGGAGTTAATTGTGCATTTTTGTGGAAACAGAAGACTATTTGTTGCATTTATTTTTTGTAGGTAATTTTTGTGAAATATATAGGTATATAATATCGATTGTTGAATAATAAAAAAACTATTTTGGGTAATTTTAAAAATGTGTATTATTTAATATTATTAAATAAAACCCAGTTATAGGACTCTTCATTTTATTTTTATGTTACCAATGCGAGATAGGTATAAAATTTTGAAGTCAGATAATGGTAACAATATTATAATGAAGAGACTTTTAGTAAAATATATTCATTTTGAATTTTACTTCAGCACAACAATAGAAGAGTATGATGAGCAGGTTTAAATTTGCTTTGCACTTTGCTCCGTTCAGAAGAGTTATGTTTCAATAATTGCTTGCATACTTAATACAATTTGGGTGTGGAAAAATATGAACTATATGGGAAGGTACCATTTTCACATGAATTTTTACCAAAAATAATGTTGCCAGATTTTGATGCCAAATTGATCTTAAAGATAAACCATGAACAAAATGCCAAACCTTGTGAAAATCGGAAGAAATTTGACCGAATTATGTGGGTGGGAAATTTCGAAATATGTCTAAATAGGATACTAGCGGGTATACCCCGGCCTTGTCCGTGGCACATATAAATTAAATTTTCTCAAAGATCTTTGAAAACGTGTTTAAAACCGATCGGATGGTAAACAAAGAAATTTCACACAAACGTTTTTCTCGATTTTTCCATACGTGCGGTGGAATTTAAAAATATCACGCAACTTAACTACAGTTAAAACTTAAGCTTTTAGTCTGCGCGTTTAGGGGAGTTTTATATCTAAAAATATGTGTATAAAGTCATACATACATGCATCCTTAGAACACCGCTTTCTCCTTCCAAAATCGCCGCCTCCTTGTTGAAGCCGCTGTCTCATTATCAAAAGCGCAGCCACCTCCTGGTCGAGGCTACCTCCTCATGGTCGAGGCTACCTTCTCCTGGTCGAGGCCGCCTCATGCTGGTCTCGTTATCAAAAGCGCCTCCCCCTGGTCGAGGCCGCCTCCTGCTGGTCGAGGCCGCCTCCTGCTGGTCGAGGCCGCCTCCTGCTGGTCGAGGCCGCCTCCTGCTGGTCGAGGCCGCCTCCTGCTGGTCGCGGCCGCCTCCTGCTGATCGAAGAAGCCTCCTGCTGATCGAAGCCGCTTCCTCCTCGCCGAAGCCGCTGCGGCTGCCTTCTTAAAGGCAGGCTTCAACTTGCGACTTACTTGAATTCATGAGAATCGCATAGGACGGCATTCGATATAAATACGTTTTTTTTTAAATTAGCAGCGCAGACAGAAGTGGCATGTCTTGTTCTTGCACGTTTGTATACATACATACCGACATACAGGCAATCACACATATGAACATGTACATACGTACATACATACAAACATGTACATACGTACATACAAACGAAAATGAATTTATATATATATATATATATATATATATATATATATATATATATATATATATATATATATATATATATATAAATTCACACAATGAATACAAACATTGATATATGCACATATAAATACACTCATATGCATCCTTACAAACAAGCACACACATACATACATACATACATTCATCCGTTCATATAAATACGAACATACATGCATGCACATTCACAAATACATATGTACACATGCATACATACATAAATACACAAGCACACTTACATGCATACGTTCATACATTCATACATACATACATACATACATACATACATTCATACATACATACATACATACATGCATACATACATACATACATACATACATACATACATACATACATATATACATTTATACATACATACATACATACATACATACATACATACATACATACATACATACATATATACATTTATACATATATACATGTATACATTACATACCTAAATACATATGCCCACATACATATATACATTTGCTCACATTCATTCATACATTAATACATACACTCATACATTCCCACATTCGTACAGACATATATAAATAATTTTAAAAATACATTTAAATCAAGCTATGCGTATTTGTAAGTGTATATTTGGGGTACATTATATCCATACTTTAGCTTTATGTATGAAGGTGAGCTCAGGGTAACAAACTACCGTGAAGAGCAGAGTTGAATTCGTTCTGCATTTGTTGTAGTTCATGAGATCAGTTTTAACAGCTTGCATGCAGATCTGTGAGTCTGAAAAGAAAACAGACACAGAAGAGCTTCGACTGTGCACAGATTAGCAGCTCCCCAACTTAAAATAATAGAATTGTATTCCAGCAAACTTTATTAATAAAAGCTTTCTTTCTCCATTTAGATCAACATGTTAATGCGTTTCGTAAGCAAAGCTTGCAACACTTTGTTGCAAAAAAGTGGCCGTCATCTGGCTGCAGCATCTCTATCAAGCCGCACACTCACCCATTACCCTGTTAACGATGCGCTTTACGGCCTGGACAAAGAACACCAGAAACTGCGAGAAGCTACCTTCAACTTCGCACAGAAGGAACTGGCGCCCTATGCTAAGGAAATCGACAAGGAGGACAATTTCAAGTGAGTATCGCAAAATAAATTCAAAGCAGACTCTCAGAGCAGCCTTTTCATACCACAGAGATATGCGTTCGTTTTGGAGAAAGTTAGGCGAACTGGGTTATCTGGGCATAACAGTGGATCCCGAATACGGAGGAACTGGTGGAAGCTACTTGGATCACAGCATCGTCGTGGAGGAAATTTCAAGGTATGTGAATAAATTCTTAACAAAGAAAATTTGATCAACATTTGCACATTACAGAGCCTCTGGAGCTGTAGGAGTTTCTTACGGCGCACATTCGAATATGTGCATCAATCAGTTGTCTACAAACGGAACTCACGAACAGAAACAACAGTATCTGCCCAAGCTCTGCAGTGGAGAACACATCGGAGGCTTGGCCATGTCGGAGGTGGGTGCCGGCTCCGATGTCCTGGCAATGAAGTTGCGAGCAGAGCGCAAAGGCGATTACTACGTGCTCAACGGTACCAAGTTTTGGATCTCCAATGGCTCCGATGCGGATACATTAATTGTATATGCCAAGACTGGAGCAAGTGGTGTTCCAGACAGCAAAGCGATAACCGCGTTTATTATTGAGACGTCGTGGGAGGGCTTCAGCGTGGCTCAAAAGCTGGATAAACTGGGAATACGTGGCAGCAGCACCTGTGAACTCGTTTTCGATAATGTAAAAGTGCCCGCAAAGAATGTGCTGGGACAGGAGAACAATGGCGTCTATGTGCTGATGTCAGGTCTGGACTATGAGCGTGCTGTATTGTCCGGAATATCGATGGGTCTTATGCAGGCCGCCTGCGACGTGGCCTTTGAGTACGCCCATGAGCGCAAGCAAATGGGCAAACTGATTGGCGAGTTCCAGCTAATACAAGGAAAGATGGCAGATATGTACACGACGGTGAGCTCGTGCCGGAGCTACTATTACACTGTGGTGAGATCCCTAGACGCGGGTATGCGAATCAGCAAAGATTGCGCTGGCGTTTTCTTGCTGTGCGCTGAAAAAGGCACTCAAGTGGCTTTGGATGCCATGCAAATCCTTGGCGGCAACGGCTACATCAATGACTATCCGACAGGACGAATTTTGCGTGATGCTAAACTATGTGAGATTGCTGGCGGCACCGCGGAGATCCGACGCTGGCTCATAGGACGTCAGCTGAATCAGGAGTATAAATGAAGCGCTATAAATGTTTAACAGGGGGAAAGGGTGTTAATATTTTAGGGGAGAAACATATTTGTTAGTTTTGTAAATTAGATCGGTACCAAGAAGCAAAATATAGACATCTCATGGCTTATTGTGAAATTTTGGACTGATTCTTAGATTACCTTTATATTCTTATATGTATATTGATAAAATTGTTACCTGCGCTCATAACGTACCATATCCTTCCAAAATCTGTAAAGTCATTGTCGAGCTATTGTTATTTTTCTTAAAAGGATATTCTGTATTATGTATTTTTAACTAAATCGGCCATAACTTGTCCATTTCAAGGACTATCCTATTGTCCTTTGGCCAGCAGATGGTCGTTATCCTCCCAATTGAGAATTTGAAAAAAATATAATGATTGTCCTTCAAAATATTGAGAAAAAAGGACATTCTTGAAGAAAGAAAATTGCTTCTAACTCAGACGTATCCTTGCGGATCCTGTTGCGGTTCCCGTCAAACGAATTGAGTGGGCTAGGACTATCTACTGGCCAAAGGACATTAAAATCGTCCTTGTAGTTGCCGAAATATTAAGGATATTTTGCTTTCGTTCTATTTGCTTGCCACACGCAAGGATTCAGAGCTGAACCTTTAATATTATAATGTATATCGATGCAGTTGGTCCTTGCGATTCTAACGCACCAAGTCCTTTGAAAATCGGAAAGAATATGGCTGAGTTCTGGCTATTTTTCTAAAAAAGGACATTCTTTTTATGGCCATAACTCGGCCAAATCCTGAAGGATATCGGAAGGATATACCTTTTTGAACTCGTAGAGAGCAGGACTATCGATTTGCATTCAAGGATTTCCAGGATTCGATAAAAAAATTTCGAAAAAAATTTTACAGGGGGTAGGTCGCAAAAGTGGCCAAAATCGAAAAAATCCGGTCTAACTTGGCCATTTTAAGGACTATCAGGATGTCCTTTGGACAGTAAATAGTCCTCGTCCCCCAGATTACGAATTAGCAATAAAAAGGACGAAAATCCTTCAAACGGCGGAGAAAAAATGCCAAATTTTCAAACACAAAATAGCCTATAACTCGGCTATATCCTTGCGTATCCTGACGAGTCCTGTGTCAAATTAATTGTATGGACCAGGGCTATCATCTGGCCAAAGGACATCAAAATCGTCCCTGTTCTGAGATATTAAGGATTTTGTGTTTTCGGCCTGTTTTCCTTGTAAATCGCCACCGAAAAATTGTCAAGTCCAGGATTCTTAGATGACCCCATAATTTTTTGATGCAGTTCGATGCAGCTGGTCCTTACGATCCTAACGCACCAGGTCCTGCGAAAATCTGCAAGGATATGGCCGAGTTATGGCCACTTTTCTAAAAAGGACCATATATTCTATGTATTATTAAATTGCCTATAATTTGGCCATTTCAAGGACTATCCTGATGTCCTTTGGCGTACAGATAGTTGTTATCCTGCCAATTTAGAATATGCAATAAAAAGGACGAAAATCCTTCAAGGAGCCTTGTTAAAAAAATTAGCCATAACTCGGTCATATCCTTACGGATCCTGACGAATCCTGTGTCAAACTAATTGTATTGACCACGACTATTGACTGGCAAAAGGACATAGCAATCGTCCTTGTATATAAAAAAATTAAAAATTTGAATGGGGCGCACCAAATTTCTATAAAATTCAGCTGAAATACCAGGCGAACAGAAATGCCCAGCAGGTAGACGAAAATCGCCGGTCGAAAAATTTCGTAGCATACCCAAAAGGGGCATGTTGAGCCGTTAAATTTGAATTTGCTTTCAAATGAATCCCGCAACCGCCAAATAGAAAAGAACGTTATTTTTTTAAATGTTTTTCCCTTGGAATAATAGCTTTTACTCCAGTTAGCTTCAGACGTTGTATGTTTCAAAGGACATCAAAATTTCAGTCGATTTCCTTGCGGCCCGCATAATAATAAATAAGAAAGGTTTGTAATTTTAGCTAAGTTTTAGCTATAAAGACAACTCTTTCGCATTTGTTGTTAAAATATTGTTTTTATTAATTTACAAAAAATACACAATTAAAATATGCAATTACGTATACACGACAGCTCACATAGGTACTCGTATATACAAAACGAAATTACAGAGCAAGAATATCCTTTTTTAGAAGAACATAGAACATTGTTTACGTACATAGATGTTTTTAAGAACTAAACGTTATGTGAACAACAAATGTGAATTGAATTAACTAAAATCGCGTTAATAATAATTCTCGATTTAAAATATTTAGTTTTTAGGTGCACGGTAATAAATTGCATAGAATTAACATTAAATCGATGAACCCAATTTGCATTTAGTTTTTTTTTGGTTACAGTTTTAGAATAAATTTGATTTGATTAGTACAAAGTATGCGTTTTTTCTTTTAATAGGGGTTCAGTTTATGTTTCGTAGTGTGTTAAAAAATTGGCAATAAATTGGCAGATAGACACGTTCAAAAGCACAACAAATATACACAAAAAGATTGGATAGTTAGAAAATAAAAACCGAAATTGAAATGAAAAGCGAATATAACGTTACATTTAGGGTGTGTGTGTGCGTGTGTATATGGGGTATTTGTGTGGCGTGTGTATATATTGACATATTAACGCTAGTGGCTAATTATATTCTAATGTTAAATTATTACTATTAGTATGCATATAAATGTTAAAAGCACATTTGGCAAACTTCTTCGTTTAGTTTCGACTGCAGCTGCAGTTCCTGCTCCTGCTCCTATACCTTATTCCAGTCGAAAACTGTGCTTCTCCGTCTTCGTCTCGGAACGCGATTCTGTTGTTGTCGTAAACGATTTGCGCTCCATGACGCGCTGCGTCATTGAGGTGAGACGCTCGGAGCCCTGATCCACAATGCTCAGCTTGCCGCCATCCGTGTTGAGCGTCATCTGAGAGAAGCTCGACTCCAGGCCAGGCTTGGGCAGGCCCAGCTCACTGGCGCTGCCGCCGCTATTGTTGGCTGACTTGTCAAAGTTGCGCGTCTCGTATCTGCTGAGGAGCCGGCAAGGGATTAGCGTTTGGACTGGCTGTGTCTAAATAATTCTCACTCACCTGGACGTGTAGCCCTCGTAGTTCTGGCCGGGATAGGCATTGCCGCCGGTCAGCTGCACTACGCCGCCCTGGCCGAACGTCTTGTCATGCAGATCCTGGACACAGGCCTCCAGATTGCGATTCACCGTCGGCTTCTGTGGCGGCGGTGGTGGCACAACGGGCGCGGACGTTGAGGAGTTCTGTGTTTTAAGGCTGGACGTTTCAAAGCTATGCTGCTGGTAGTTGGCGTTAGTGGGTGTGCCCGATGCAGATGTGGTGGTTGTAAAGCCGTTGCTGCCCGCCGCACCAGCCACTGGACTGCCAGGGTATGGGCGTGGCACAGCATTGGCGGTTAGTTTGGGATTAGAGCGAAAACTATGGCCCGACGTGGCCGTCTGCATATTAGAAATGGTCGTCGACAATGGCGGCGGTGGCGGCGGAAAATCGCCATTGGCATCATCCATGGCCGCATAATTTGATGGTGGCGGCGAAACTGCGCCCGGATGATGGAAATGCTGTGGCTGCGGGCTGGCATAATTATAATGATGCTTCTGCTGACTGCCGGCGGCTAAGTCAGAGCCTGCGTAGTAGTTGGACGGGCTGGACATATCGCCCGAGCTACAGTAAGCGCCTCCACGACCCAGAGTCTGTTAAAGGTTAGCAGGAGACAAAGATTTGGTTGGTTAGACAGATTAGGGTTAGATCATTTACAGCTACAGCTACAACTAAATTGATACCGACACCAGGTGAGAATTTCATCAGTTAAATCAATGCCAATTCGTTGGTGCACAGTCTAAACTAAAACTAAGAGATAAAGGATAACCTGTTCATACATTGTTCTGGCTCCTGTTGAGCGTGCCGTAGGCGTACTCCGTGTCGCTCTCGTCGGTGGTGAAGCCTTGGGTGTTCTTGGCATAACGCTGCGCCTGGCGCACATGCTTGAGACGCTGGCGCGCCTCCTCCAGCTCCTTCTCCTTACGCAGCACAGCGGAGCGTGCATTGATCTCCTGCGCCATGCCGTCCACCATGGATGTGTTGATCTTCAGCGAATGCTCCTCCTCCGCCTCGAGGCCTTGTTGGGCGGCATGCACCAGATTGTCAGTGGATTTGATGACTGCATTGCCAGCGGCCTGCAGGCGACGTCCCGCCTCCGAGTTGGGATTCGATTTGACCTTGCATGCAATCAGCAATTGCGCTGTGGAGGCAGCCACCTGTTTGGCCGTCGAGATGAGCATCTCCTCGGTGCCGACGCCGCGCACCAAATTCTGTGCGGCCTCCACCAAGCTGTGTGTGGCTGCAGCCACCAGGCGGGCGGCTGAAATCAGACCCTCCGACCACTGGCCATCATCGGAGCTGGTCAACGGACGCCGTGCCACCTTGCCCTGATCAATGAGCTCACGCTGAGCGGCATTGGCAGCACGTACCAAGGCAGCAGAGGCGGCCATAATGCCCTTGGCTGCCTCGAGGATCATCTCATCGAACTTCATGTTCTCATCCAGCTCGATCTGTGAATGGAAAGCAATGCGATTAGATAAATGAAAGCCATTTGGAGCTCAATTAAGATTAGATAAGATTAAGAGTAGCAAACACCATTTGAGTTAAGTTAAGTTATTCGATTTGGTTTTGGTTTTGGTTTTGATTTTGGTTTTGGTTGGTTTAGTAGAGTTTCAACAATCACAGTAATAATATGTTTGATTCCTGGGTGAACTTTTGAATGTAACAACCAAGAATATCAAACATATCTCACTGGAATCATTAGATGAGTGCGGGAGTAGTTTGATTTGGTTGATTTGGTTTTAAACGAGCCTTTCGAGATGAGTTAAACTGATGAGCAGTTGAGTTAGTTTCAATTCACCATTCACATACACCATTAACAACTAACAACTAGCAGCTAGGGACTCGGAATCCCAGCTCAGCTCACCTTGACATCCGCCTGGCGACGTGGTCGCAGCGAGGCCAGTTTCTTGGCAGCCGCATCGATGGATGCCGCAGCGCCGAGCAGCTCGTTTTCGGCTATGACCGTGGGATCCTCCGGATCTATCCAGTCGGAGCCCTTCAGCAGACGCGCCATGGCCACCAGATCTGTGACGCACTTGGCCACGCGTCGCGAATAGTGCATGCGATCGTCGGCGCTGCAATTGTGCAAAATGCCATTGAGCAGCTCTCTGTAGGATTCGGCGACAGCGGTGCCCGCCTCCAGTGTGCGCACACGCAGCTCATCCGTCTCGGCACAGTTCCAGGCAACGGAACGGCAAACGATCAGCATGTCCGAGATGGCGCGACGGCCCAAATTGGCCGCAGCCACAATGTCCGCCTGCAGATTGGAGGTGCCGGCGGCGACAGCCTTTGCCGTGGCAGCTGTTACATTCATGGTGACGCGTATCAAATCCTCGGGTCCCATCTGAGCGCTGCCCACGGGCGGCGGCGTCTGCATGGCCTGCAAATGAAAGTCAGAATAAATGCGAGCTCTAGAGGGGAGCTACTTTTATGTGCTACTCACGCGTATCTCCTGTGAAATGGCCTCCACAGTGGCCTCCATGGCGCGTGTGCCGCGCGTGTGCTCATCCTCGACAGCTTTGACGGTCTTCAGCAGCGAGGAGACATTCAGCACCATGACCTAAACGCAATAACAAAGTGTTTTTGGTGTTGTTGGACAGAAATGTTTGGGATTAATCTTCAGTTTTATAGTGGGAACAGAGCATGGATAAAGTAGAAATAACTTAAATCTAAACTCTAGACACTACAAACTACAAATTAAGTTCTACAAGTAATACGTCTACTCTTAGATGGCTTTGGCACTCTGCATATAAAACTATATTGAACAACATGACTTTACGAGCAATTAAAATTTTATTCGAGAAATAAGACAAATAATGATTATAATCCTTCTAAACAACATTCATATTCAGGGACTATAACAATCGACCAAAGGGAAACAACTTGCAGATGCTATGGAGAGCAGCAAATATGGGCCACAGCTTTCTTAAGGGATTTAGTCGCACAATATAAAAGGATTTTGAATATACGAAACTTTGTTTTGGCCTTTTCAAATTCAATAAAAAGCTAATTTTTCACGGTTACAGAAAATCCACCGCCAAGCGTGGAAAAATTAGGCTTTAATTATGGATAAGAATATACGAAACTTTTCCAAATGGGTTCTAAATTCATTTCAAATTCGACCAAAACACAGTTTTCACGGTTACAGCAAATCCACCGCCAAGCGTGGAAATGTAGGTTCAAGGTGGGGCGCTCGATAGTTAAATTTCAGCCCGAGCGGCTTCCAATTCAAAATATATAGATCATATAGATTTCATGCGATTGGTTTGTGGGTATATCTATTATTCTAATATCTTGAATTTCGATCAACCCATGCCCAGTCAGAAAAGGGTGAATTTGAATTTTTAGTTATTTCTAGCCACATATATACCGTTATATATATGCACTCTCCAAGTGTACTCTTCCATAGCATCCACAAATTTTACAAAGTTTTCATAGTGACAAAAATGTTTGGAATAAAATTGTTTGTTTGTTTGTTTGCTTGCTTGTTTTTTCATGTTTTGTGCAATGATTAATGTTTATGTTTAAGAAAGAATTTCGTCAATTTCGTTTCCAAATTGCTGTGGGAGGCACGCCCCCTCCCCCCCTGAAATGGCTCATGATTCCATTGCCGATTGCTGCTGCCGCTGCCGCTGCTGCTGCTGCTGCGGGGGGCGTGTGTGTGTGTTAGTTTCTGAATGGGCGCTGGCAGCCGATTGGCAAACATCTTGAAGCGTCTGCATTGTTGTTTGTTTTCGAAATATGGTTGGTATCGATATCGAATTCGATTTTGATATTGATGCATGTTCGAATCGATAGGTTGCGTATATATACATATATATATATATATTCCACAGCGAGCGCAGCGCATGAAGAGAGCGTGGAGAGCGATTTTTGAGTACGATTTGCGTATTTGTACAGTTCATGAGAGTTTGTTGTTGTTTTTTTTTTATGTATATGTATGTTTGTGTGTGTATGGGAAGAGAGAGAAGAGCAGAGACGTCGAACGCGCACAAATTAGCAAAAAAACGAAAACGAAAATATACAAAAATTTATGGAATTTTTATGTTCAATGTTTGCTTTTTACAAATGTCTGTGTGTGTGTGTGTGTGGGAGGGTGGTTCTGTGAGTTGTTTGAGTGGGTGGTGGTGGATCGACAAAGAGAGTGGGAGAGCAAGAGCAAGAGAGAGAGCGCAGCAAATGCATGCGGAGCAGCAGGCAGAAGGGCGGGTGGTTGACCAAACAGTTAGAGCTGACAACGGCGGGATGAGAAAGTGGTGTTTGGTGATTCAATAGCCACAGATATTGTTGTTGTTGTTGTTGTTGGGGGCTGTTTATACACTTGTACACATGTATTTGTGAGAGAATGAGTGTGTTTGTGTTTGTGGGGTTAAACATTGAAAATTATTAATAAACATTTAATATAAAAAACGTAAAGCGCCAGCAGCAGCAGCAGCAGACGAGCAGCAGGTGAGTTTGAGCTTGAGCTGGAGGTGAGACGAGTAAGCCCTCGTTTGGTGCAGAAAACAGCAGCGACAGCAACAGCAAAGTGGTATTAAATATTCTTTTTTTGTATAGGGGTTTTCTTATAAGTACATTTTTTTTATGGTGGTATATGTGTGAGTGCCAAAGCCAGTTTAGGTTTAAAAAGTATTTACTCGTAAACAGTAGTCGCTCACTAAGTAGAACGTTTCGTTTAAAATATTTGAGAAATGTGGAAGAAGTATACAAAAAAATAAACAATTTCTAGTATCTTCGTTTTACAAATATATAAAATGATTACGTTTTCTGGTTCTAGTTACCGAGCGAGCACTGTATTCTAACTGCCACAAACAACATTTATGTATGCGTATATGTCTGTGTAAAAAAAGGACTAAGAACCAAGCTGACAAAACAGAACTCGAACTGTTCGACTAGGCTTAGTCAAAACTTAAACCAATTGGGAATTACAAGCTCTGAGCAATTAAATATTTATACTCTTTTATGCTTTATACTCTGATTTACTTTTGGGATTTGGGATCTGCTCTCTTCTTCGAGTTTATAATTCGATTTGCTTCACGACCTCTTTTATTCCAATTTAATTCTTCGTACTATTTAATAGTTTCCCCTAAACTCATGTTCCGTACGTTTGTCGCTCAAAGCTACTCTCAAAAAGTCCCAAAATATAGTTACCATAACCACATTAAAGTCAGATACAGTTACAAAAAAAATTACCAGGAATTAAAAAAAGACTGTAAATATTACACACTAATAAAAAAAGCCACAACAACGAAAGCTTTACAGCATAGATAGAGAGAGTATTAAAAAACTAGAGAGATGAAGAGACGTAGGGAAAAATATATAAAGAAAAGGACTTGAACATACCCTGGCGCTCTCCTTGAGACCCTGCATAGAGGGATCGTGTATGGGCTTGCCCGAGGCCAGTTTGGTGCAGTTGATCAAATCACCGAGAGCCGAGGCCACATCCTTGACAGCATTAATGACCATAACCTGCGAGTCGGGCTGCGAGGAGCCCAAGGAGCAGGCGCCGCGCTTTACAGCCTCCGCGAGTTGAGCTGCAGGCAAAAAAGAACGTTAACATTGAGCACGGAATGAGAGGATCTGATGACTCACTAATTGTTGAGACGGCATTCTGTGCCGCATTGGCCAGCTGATCTTGTGTGCCGGCGGCGCCGGTTACCAGCACCTTAGTGTCCTCCACCAGAGCCTTGGCTGTCTGTAGAATGTGCTCTCGGTGATCGGCAAAGCTGCCGTCGCCGTCCGAGTGCAGTGTGCCCGCCGTGGCAAACATAATGGTCGTATCCAGATCTCCGATGATGCCGGATACGGTGTGGGCAGCATTGATGCAGGCCTGGGTGCCGCGAGAACCGGCTTGCAGGGCAGCCAGCACCTGGGCCACCTTCTCGGATACCTCGCGAGCATTGTTCGATATCTGCTTGAGGGCGCTGGCATCATGTGGACTGGCGCCGCCGGCAGAGGACTGTATCATGGAGCTGACCGAACGACCCAAATCGATGACTGTGTTGCGTATGCGCATGGCCACATCTGGCGAGGTGGTGGTCGTGCTGGCGCCCACCGAATCCTGGGTGAGCAGCTGGTAGTGCTGGGTCATTTCGACGGCCAGCTGGGGCAGAGCCGCTGGCTCCACACTGCTCTTGGCGTTCATCTCGTTGCCCAGGCGAGCAATCTCCTTGGCCGTGGCCACCATGCGCGTCTGGTAGTCCACAAAGGTGTCCGAGTAGGAGGCATTCAGCAGCGACTGTCGCTTGTCCGTGAGCCGCGTTATGGCGCGATTCACCTGCTCCATGAGGCCGGTGACAATGCCCGTCTCGGCATTGATCTTCTCCACAGCTTGCTGCAGCTCCTGGATGGCCTCCCGGGTACCATCGATGGCCTCGTCGAGGCGCGGATGGGCGTGTGTGGCACGTGGATTACCCGCCGAGTCCTTGGCCGATTGCACCAGGGTAATGGCGCTCTCGACCACCGACTTGGTCTGATTGATCAGCGACATTTGCTGCTGGCTGTGCACGATGTGGGTGCAGGCGCCAATGGCGCCATTCACCATGGGCACCACATAGCGCGAGATCTCGCCCACGGCATGGCCCAGCTGCTCGGCATTGTTCTTGCCCGCCACGCGTATGGGTTCCAATTTGTCCAACAGCTCCGCGGCAGAGTTCATCGTTTGGCCACTGAAGCCATGCAGATTATTGTCCCGACGACGGCTCAGGCCCTGAGCATTGGCGGCCAGGGCGCAGCTGTCCAGCTCACGGGTGCAGGTGCCCAGGGTGTGCAGCACCTGCTCACATTGGGCCTGTCCGGGCGCCTTGTCGCGTATGTTGTCCACGAGCCGCTTGACGGACTCGGAAACGGGCGTGGAGTGCATGGAGAGCTGCTGCCACACGGGCGGATTGTCCGGGGACAAGGCCAGCGATTTGGCCGCCTTGACCATCTCGACGACGCCATCTATAACACCACGTCCAGCCTGAATAACTGGCTCCTGCGCCTTGCGACCCTCGGCTGAGATTTTGGCCGGAATCGATATAAACTCTGGACTGGAGGCATATTGACGCACTGCCTTGACAGCATCCAGCAGCGGCTCCACAAGTCGATCCCGACTGCCGCTCGTGGGATTCTCCTCAATCGCTTTGATGTCCTGCACAAGATCCGATGTTGCGGTGGCCACCCGCTTGGCCAGCACAATGAACTCATTCTTGGCCACCGGATTGTTGGTGTTCATGCTCGCCTGTCGGCAAATGGAACACAGATAGCTCGTGTGCTTGGCAATCACGGTCAGAGCCGAGATCATCTGCGGCTTGCCTGACTGGGCGCTGCTCACAATGTCGCAATGCTGTCGAATGCCCTGATAGGCCCAGGTCAACTGCGCCTGGTCAATGATGCCGGGACGCCCAGCCACGCTGCTGGGATGCGAGACGCCAATGAGATAGGCTGCCTGCGAGGAGCTCTCCATCAGACCCTGTATGGAGTCGTTGACATTGTTCACCGACTGACTGAACTCCACGTGCTGTGACTGTTTGGCATTGTTGATCATCTCGGAGATGGCATAGCCCAGATTGCGCGACTTGGCGGTCGCCTGTTCGACGCAATCAAAGTAGCCCATCTCGTTGATCGGCTCGTGCGGATAGTCGAGCATCAGACGCAGTGCCTCAATGTTGCGCATGGCATTATCGCACTCCTTTTGGCCCGGCGCCGACTGAATGCTGGCATCCACCAGCTGATTGATGCTCTCCGTAACGCTGCGGGCGGCGGCATGCAGCAAATTCTTGGCATTCGGCTGGCCAGGATCGGCGGCAATGGACTTGGCCGTGGAGAGCAGCGAACACGACTGTGTCGACACATTGCGCAGGCAGTCAATCATCTGCGAGCGCACGGGCTCATCCGTTTGGGTCTGCCCCGCCATCTGCATGCTCACCGACAACAGATCCCTGTAGTTGGCCGCAAAGTTCTGGCTGCTGTCGGCCAGCAGGGCAGGGCTGGCATACGATTGGACAATCTGGCCGCCGGCGCTGCTCAGCTGCTCGGCCACCTGCTTCAGCTCGGACTGCAGCTCGGCATAGGGTCGGTTCGAGGGCGGGAATTCGCTCACGGACAGAATCTCGCTGAGTTCGCTGACATTGCGCAGCGCGGCGTCCACCTCACGCTGGCCGGGTATGCAGTCGACGGTGCGCGAGAGGGCACCTGTCACATCTCGGCCCGCTTGGGTCAGCGCCTGCGGATCGGAGATACCCTGCAGCGTGCGCTGCGCCTGCTCTATCAGCTGTGCGGAGCTGGTGACCACGTCGTCGGCGCACTCAATGATGGCCGGATTCTGTGTGGTCGCCGCCACGCCATGCACGCTCTTGGTGAAGTCGCCCAGGGCCAGAGCCGTGTCCCGGCCAGCGGCGCCTGCATAGCTGCGTTGTCCCTGCAGTACAGAGCTGAGCAACTGGCTCAAAGCAATGCCCACATTCTTGGCCGATTTGCGCAGCTCGTCGGCGGTGTTCTCCACCGTCTCGCCGGGCAGAGGACGCAGTTGACCCGCCAGCGCTGCCTGGCGTGTATCGTCGAGCACATGATGCAGCTTGCGCACCGCCTCCAAGGCGGACTCCAGCTCCTGACCACCGCAGGCATCGCGTGCACGCTGCGCCACCGAATGCAGCTCTGAAACCGTCTGGCCCAGATGCAATGCACTCTTGGACAGCTGCGCGGCAGAGGGTATATCCGTGACAGTGGGCCGCAGGGCACGTGAAGATTGCGATACTTGAAGAGCAGGCTCAATGAACTGTTCCGCCGCCTCGATAAGATTCAGCTGGGCGTGCGCATCGTCTGGCTGGGCGCGCGTCGTCTTCAGCGATGTGACCAGTCGTGGTATGGTGTCTGCGACGCGTTTGCAATCCTGCAGCAGCGACTCCTTGGTCTGATGGTCTTGGCTGTGCTGCACCGCATTCTGGGCGGCCGAGATGCACTGGGTGGCTGCTGAGGCAGCCAGCTTAGAGTGGAACTCGAGCCGCTGGATGAGACCACGCTTCATGGCCGGCGTATTGGCGGTGCTGGTGGTGATCTCGCGCAGCTCCTCGGCAGCACGACGCAGCGCATTCTGATTGTCCGAATCATGTGGATTGGAGGAGCACAGGCGTGCCGCCTCCACCAGCTTGGCGGTGGCATCGGCCAACTGCTTGGCGGCCGACAGCAAACGCCGCTGCATGTCCGCATCCTCCTGCTGATCCGCCTCGCCCTTGATGCTCTGGATGAGCTGTGCCGTTGTCTGGCCCAGGGTGCGCGCATGGCGCACCATTTCCTGGGGATCATTGGTGGACACCAAAACATCGGTGCCAATGATAACATTTTCGACGGGACTCAGCTCCTGACTGGTGCGATTCGCATGCTCGCGAGTGCTTAGCTTCACATGCTCCAGCATCTCTGTGAGACTCTTGGAGACATCGCGTGCCGCGTCCAGCAAATCGGCCTTCAGCTTGGGATCGTTGCTCGCCTCGTTGCAGACCTCGCAGAGCGAGTTGACAGCACGGGCCACGTTTCTGGCCGCCGCCTCCAGCTGCTCCCGGCAGGCAGCATTGTGCAGGGTGGGTGCCACCACCTTGGCGCAGGCGACCAGCTGACTGGTGGCCAGTGCGCACTGGCTGGCTGCTCCAATGACGCGATTGCGCGCCTGATCGTCCTCACAGCTGGCGGCGATGTTCTTGGCCCGCAGCACCAGGGCGGCTGTGGTATTGGCCACGGCCTTGGCCAGGGCCAGCAGCATGTCGTGCAGATCGCGATTCTCTGGCGCCTCCTCCTCAGCAATAGTGCTGAGCACATGGGTGGTGGCTTCGCCCACACGGCTGGCGGCATTAATCAAATGCTGCGGTGGCTCCTTGCTCTCCGGCTCAGCGGCCTTGAGCAGATCACTAAAGGCATTGCACAGATTGCGAGCTGCCTCCAGCAGCTGGTCGCCATTCGAATCGTTCTCCATGAGGGCGGCAATCAGGCGCACCTCCTTGGTGACCTCGGGTATGGTCTGGGCAATCTGGGACACAGATGCCGAAATGGCTTCCGTATCGACCTCATCCGGCTGCGAGGCGGTGATAATCTGCGCGGTGGCCGCGCTCATCGTGGCCACATGCGAGCTGACCGCCTGCTTCGAGGTGTCCAGCGTATTCTCACGCCACTCAATGGAACGCAGATCGCTGCCCAGCTCCTGAATGGGTGCCTGCACAGAGTCGAAAATTGATTAGTTGTAAATTCTAGTTCTTCTTCTTATTGGCCTGCTGGCAGACTCACCTTGGTGCGCAGCTCCTCGTCAGCGCGTATTAAGACATCCTGTCCAGCGGATATATAACCGAGCAGCGCACGCTGCGGCTCCGTCAGATTCACAGAACTAATGCGTACTTCCTTAGTCTAATAAGGAAATCATAATCGAGATTAATAGGGATTATCAGAATAAATTCTATTAACTTAATGGGCGGCACATACTTTGTGAAACTTTTCATGACCGTTTTCTAAATGTTTCAGGGATTAACGCAGCATGTTAAGAGATGAAAGAATTTCTTCAAGTTAGTTCAAGTAAGATGTTACAAAGTGGGGTTATGTTCTGATTTAAGAGGTGCAATGGCAACTTAGACATAATGGCAGGAAATGAAATTTACGAGTGCTGCAATTGGAATCGGTTGTCTCTCTGGGTTGTTTATGAAACTTACCGTGGGCGGTTGATGAGCGTGATTTACTTGACCCACAAAGGCGCCATACTGCACGCTCTGCATTTCGTTCTGCGTAAAGGTGCGTTCACCTGTCAGCCATATCGGGCGAGCGAGGGGCAGAGAGAGAGAAACGGATGTGTACAAAAGAAATAAATCATAAATTATCAGAAGCATAACAAAAAACTTAAGCAAAAGCAATGCAGCAAAAACTACACCAGCTAGAATTTATATTTAAGATTTTTAACAACATATTTTGTGAGTCTTGGACTTAAATTATTATTTTCTGTTTTGTATTTTAACATATTATTACATATTAAAATTAAACAGCTCGAATTTAGATATTTTTTTTGTTTATATCTGTTCAATCTCACATTTTCCCAAAATTTTAAATAAAAGCAACTTGGCTACAATAAAATCGCACAAACAAAATTTGCTGGTCTTTTGTTCAAGCGTACTTTACAGTAAAAAGCTGAAGCTTAAGTGCACATATTTTAGGTATATATTAAATAGAAACCCAGAGACTTACCGTCATAAGGCCGCATAACGCCCGGATGCGCTAAACTTTCCAAGTTCAGCTTCTCCACGCGATTCGTTTCGTGCTGCAAGAAGGTGGCCCTGAAAACATAGACAAATGTCAACAATAACATATTAAAGAATCCTCTTCAGCTACACAACTCACTTGGATGGCGCAACGGACTCCTCCACCATGGTGGATCCCTCATCTCCCTCGATGCCAAAGTGATCCTTGGTCTGTTTCTTCTTCAATATGATATCGATATAGCCCGCTATGAGCTGCACGATCTGTTCGGCTTCTGTCGTCTGCACTGAATAGTATTGATTCGCATAGTCGCCAAAGTCCAGGGTGAAGGTGTTCGGCGAGGCGCCCCAGCGACGCACTGTGGTCAGTGGCCAGGAGATTAAAATCTCCTTGGTGCGCTCATCCAGACGCAGCACAGAGTCTTTGGTAACACCCAAGAGACGCGGCACAAGCTTGTTCTTGCCATTCATCTTCTCCTTGACTAGGAAGAAGGTAACGCCATAGGTGGGCAGCTCCCGAGCGGTCTTGGTGTACAGAACTTTGGCATCGATTTCCGTCAATTCAAAATGCTTTCTATGCTCCGCAAAGATTTTCTTCTCAATGTTCTTAACACGCACATACGACTGTGGCAAAAAGTCCTTTAAGCTGGATAGTGAGAAAGGGCAGATAGTAGTTAAAAAGTGCATAGTTTTGGCAAGGGATTCTCGACTTACTCCAAGAATCCGGGCTTGTGCTTGGCCTCGTTGTGCGGCCCGAATTGTATGTGCACTTGGATTCCGGCGAATTCGCAGGCTGGAAGAAATATCAGGCAAAATTTGTAAAATAAAAGAAAAACCATGAGTTTTATTAAGTACTCACCCTTGTCCTGGGTAACAGGATGTGTGCCATCGAGAATGGCGTCCCTGGCCTGCACGTAAAGCAAATTCAGCTGCACCGGATCACGCGAGTCAATGTTCTGATCAGAGAAGAAGAAACGACGGCGCAGCAGCACCGTCTCCGACTCATCGATGCCCTGTTCGCGCAGTGTGCGACCCACATCGACCCAGTTCACTGAAAGAAATAAAGTTGTACATCAGTTAGTTAAGCTGCCAAACGATAGATCGCGCCCACTCGTACTCACTTTCATCGTCAGTTTTGAGTTTCTTGCGCAAACTTTCCATTTTGGCATCGCGATCCTTCTCGGTGAACTTGCGCTTGAGCGTGAGCGTACCAAACTTATTGTCCGGCAGGTTCTCGTTCTGCGCCTCGTTATCCTCACGCACCAGGCCATATTCCTCGTGATTGGTAATGCCAATTTTGGTGCAAATTACCACCATCAGCTGGGAAACGGGCTGCGAGTCGTCGACCAGGATGGTCTTGACAGCGCCATCTAACATGCGGACACGCAGTGTCCGGAGCTTGCGTCGATATTCGAGCGTATCCTGATTATGCAGTATATAATAGCCCAGTGTGCGGCCAGCTTCTAGCCAAACGCCCTGCTGGTTCTGCTCATCCGAAATGAAGAGTCCATATTCGCTAGCTGCAATATCGTTAGGGGGCAGAAGCTATAGAGAAACTAGATCTGAATGTGACTGGGCGTTACTCACGTTGTCCCTGCACCGCTTCGGCAAATTTATCGCGTATGATTTTGCATGCATCGAAGACTGTCGTATTTGGTTGGAATTGTATGGTCTTGGTCACCCGACCACCCTCCAGCTGTATGCGCAACGACAGTGTGGACATCTTTGCGTCGTCTACGTGCACGTCCGCCTCCTAGTCTTAATCGTTTGCTTAAACTTAGTGTATTAGGTGTACAAATTGTAAAAGGCACTGTGGAGGAAAAAATGAGAGAAACAGTCGAGAACAGGCGTTATAAACATGAAGTAAATGGCCCGTTCAAGTGTTATAAATAGCGCACTGAGCGAAACTGAAACACAAAACCTAAACCAAAAACCAAAACCACCCCCAAAGCAGCAAAGATAGCCGGGCCCAGGCCGGGACAGGCCCAGGCCCAGGTCGGGGGCAGCCACCACCCAAAAACCAGACAAAGTCGCTGCGCTGCTGATGAAAATCTTCTATACACACACACTCGCACACTCACACACACACGCACACACACACACTCGCACTGTGGGCACTTCACTGTTCAAATCAAAGCCTGGCCATTGTAGCTTGGGGTGAATTGCTGCTCACCCCGCCGCCCCGCTGCCCGCGCTGCTGCCCCCAGACTCGTGCTTGTCATTATGCCAAAGGCAGCGACGCCAGCGACTGCGACGCTGACAGCGACGTCGTTTGCTGTGGCTGCTGCTGCTGCTGCGCATTTTATGCGACATTAATGCCTGGATTTTTAGCTAAATTCACTTAATGCTCCACTGGCTCACCGTATACCCATCCCAACGCCCATGCCCACGCCCACAGCACGCTTCTAATTGATTTTCTATCCTGCCGCTCTGTCCGTAGACGTGGCCAGGCAATGTGTGTCAGTCAGTGGCCGGAACACGATATCGTTCTTTCTTTTTTTTTTTTTTGTTCTTATGTAAAAATCGATAATTTTCACAGCTTATGTTTTGGTTGTCGCATCCCCCGCCTGACACGAAGACATGCGGAAGCACTTGAAATTTCCGGTAAAAACTGTCGGCCACAAGCCCAGAAGAGGCCAGGCACACACATGCACATGCTCACGCACAGTATATACACACACGGCAAACAGTTAAAAATTTACTTTTTGCCAGTTGGCAGAACGCCGACTGCTCCATATGGCGGCTTGATTGGCAACGGCTGGCTGGCTGTCTGTCGATTTGTCTTGGTTTTATGGAGCACTGTTTAAGGATGCACGTCTGCTGGCCACGAAATCTGGCACGTAACTGAAAAAGGTTACCTCAAAATTGGACCAGCCAAGGGGATGCTGCGACGTCGACGTCGCTGCCAACGTTGCCAGTTGCCATAAGCAGTACTGCTGTCTGTTTTACCGTTTGTTGGGGTGAGAGAGAAACAGAGAGCGAGAGCGCGCCGCCTGCGCATTGCTGGCCACACTTTATTCAAAGGGTGCAGCCAGGCAAACCGAATCAACCCCAAGAGCGCGTGTAGAGTTCTCTCTCGCTCACTCGAACTCTCCAGTTGTAGACTTTACACGCCCGGCAACGGCGACTGCCCGACCGAGTGGCGCCAGCCGGCAAAGTGCCAGCGTTTTGCGCAGCTTAAGCGGCGCAGCGGCAGAGGGCAGCGAACTGGAAGCCACAGGGGCGTAATCTGATCGAAGCGCTGCGCAGCAATCCCGTTTAGACAGCGAGGGAGCGTGCGCAGGGTTTGTTGAAGGATACATGCAATATTTTGCTTTGTGGTAAGAGATATAAAATGATAATATGGGAAAGTTGGCAAAAGTATTCAACGAAATTTAGAATAAATCTAAATCTACTAGAAAAAATCTACTAGAAAAAAGTTATAGGTATATAAATTAAATGTAAGACAAATATCTTCCATTTTTTAGGAAAAAGATAGTTAACATATAATGCAAATGATAGATATAATTATATAATTACGGTTACTAACGGTACTTTCAAGAAAAAAATGGCTAACATTGTAGATATACAACTGATGTGGAGGTTACGAATAGTTGGATTTAGAATATTTTACGAATTTGGGAACTTGCACAATAAGAGATATCTGTAGTACTTTTTAAAATGTTAACATTGAACAACTTTCTTTCTAGTTAAGATTCCAAATGTAGATTATACTACATAAAATATAAACATTTTCATGCTATATTTATGAGCATATTTTCACTAGTTAGCTTTTCTAGACGAAGTACTCTTGCTTGTAATACAATACCCTCCATTAATTCAATTAAATGTACCGCATGCAGACTCCCCCAAAACATAACCTCAAAATAAACAGACACACACACACAGAGAATCTGGGGAAAACTAACAATGTGACATAAAAAGGAAAAAGGGACAGGATGTTGAATAGGGATGTGACAGGACAAGCAGATGGATTTCATAGAGCCGAAAGACAAACAATTTCAATGAATGGGGAAACTGGGCGACAACTAAGTATGCACATACCTCATTATCGATATGTATATATATTTATGGCTGATTTCGGGCTGATGCGGGGGCAGACGAGGTCTAGCATTACAGCTGACTGAGGTTTCAATTGCGGCTATCAAAGAGCAGTTTTTATAGTGTCTAATGAAATACAAGCGAAGCAAAGCAGCAGATTTTCCGGTGAATGCAAATCGAACAGCGTATCCAGCTTTAACTGACTTTAGCTTCTGGCCAGGCCGGCCATGAGTTCGCACTAATTGGCAACCACTTTTCGCTCGGAAGTCACACTGTGCGGCTAATGGATGTAATTTACTGCCATCCAAGTTTTCTATGGCTCTGACTAATTAATTGGCCCTGGCACTGTGCTGAAGCTGAGTGAATGCACTTTCAATATATTTATTGGCATTCACAAAAAGCTGTCGCTGCTTATTTTGTGACTTTTCCAATTGGTAAAAGTATGGAAACCCAATAAATGGCCTAGGATTATATAAAATTCTTTTATAGGGCTATTTGACCAATGAATTTGGTTTTAATTATGATTAAGCCTCGATTTATGTGTGGATTTAATTATGCTTAAATTTCCTTTTTTTACATCCTTATTTAATGGAGCATAAAAATATATGGAACTTAATCTGAGGAGATCGAGGACAACATGGAAAATAATTATTATTACATCATATATTCATATTATAATAATTTTCCACAATTTAAACAAAAATACATATATCTTTGCATCTATTACCAATCGAGATGCTGATTTGAACCAGTGACTTTACAAATCACTGATCAAAGATATATATAAGGTTCAACAAAATTTATATCAAGCTTCTTCTAATAATAAGTATAAAATAGTTCAGAATGTAATCGAAAAGAAATTCAGGCATATCTTGAGTTAAATATTTTATAAATTGTTTCAAGTTCGGGAATCTTTTTACTTACTCTTCGTGCACATTTTTAGGCTCTTCAAGGAATTGTGTTTAAAATTACGTAATGTTTTATTAATTATTTTGCGCTTTTCGGTTGTTTTGAGAAGTTTTTCAAAAGGCACATGGCTCGGTATAGCTTATGCTTATGCTTATAAAGGCACACTCGGGGCTCGTGTGTTGTGTTTCGTGTGTGTGTGTGAGTGTTTTGGTGTGTGTTGTTGTTTTTTTGTTAAATGTAATTGTTTTTTTAGTTTTTTGTTTGGTGTGGACATTGGCACGGGGTGGTGAAGGGATTTTAAAAATCGTTGACTACGAACGGCAGCGCACGACGATCGGAGGAAGGCCAAACGCGATCAAATAACCGACTGACTCCCCTTTTTGTTGGCGACTGCTCGCCGAGCTGAGGCACGTTTGTGGTGGTGTTGAAACGGCGGCACGGAGACGCGTCCAGCACGTTTTTGTACAAGAAATTGTACGGAACCGAAATGGCAAAAAACACAAACTAAGGACTAACAAGTATCTCGAGTGCAACAGAGGGAAAGATAACTTTCTCTCTCTCTCTCTCTTTCCCAAAAAGTTGCCTCTCTGTTAAAAAAGTAGCTACAAAACGCGACTACTCCGAATATGTTTTTTTTTGTTTTTTTTTCAAATATAACAAATAACTTTCTTAAAAGGTGCATCTAATGGCTAAAAACGTTGTCTTGTATATTGTATATACGGTATATATATATTTATATAGTTTTATATGTTTAAAAACGTGTAGAGTTTCGTAATAAATTTCTAACTTTCATCTAAGGCAAATTAGTGGCAGAGTTGGATTCTGAGCCTAGGGCCGAAATATCTAAGCGTTACTTAGAGCTACAAAAGTTGCGTTTAAAATTGAAAGTTTCTCGTTTAAGGCACACGACGACAAATGCAGCAAACAAAAGACGCGAACGTGTTAATAATAATAATAATTAAGTTCTTTTTAATATTTAATAAGGCACTTTTGACGAACTACTCAACTGAAAGGCACGCGCAGGCAACAATAACGAAACTTAACAACTTTTAGTTTTTCTCTTCTTTTTTTTTAATAGTTAACACAAGGCACAAAACGGTGTCTAAAGAAACGCGTGACAACTGTTTGAGGAAACACTTGAACTTGAACTGTGGCTGGTCCAGCTCCAGCTCCAGCTGCTCCTGCTGCTGGCTTGATGATGTCAGCGCTGGCGTGTCCTGCCCGATCGGAGGCTAGGCCTAGAATGATGTGCTACGCCGGCGACACATCGTGCGCTTCTGACGCAAACATCATTCATGCCACAAGTCGTAAGCAACATGAGAATCCAACTGGCGACATTCTGTCGACCCAAAGGATGCTGCGGCGCGCATGCTCCAAGCGGCGACTGAAACCGAATCATCAGCAAATCCTGCACGTGCAAGAGGGATGGGAGCAGCAGTCGCAGCAGCAGCAGCCGCAGCCGCAGCACAGATCAACAGCTGGGGGCAGGGGTTGTGGTGTGTGGCATGCCACTTTGCCTTTTTATATATGTACATATATATATACATTTTTTTTTTGTTGGGCACAACAACAAAAACAACCACCAACTGTGACGCCCAATGGGTGGGCCAGGACCACCAATGGCTGCGACGCTGCCAGGCTTCGTCTCGCTGCTTATGTACAACAACCCAAAAGGGGGGGAGGCTGAGCAATTGTTGTTCTTGTTCTTGTTTGTTCAGCTAAGTTGTATAAATGGAGCGAGTGACTATTTTTTTCTCTATATATATTATGCAAAATGAAGAAGTGCGCTTCTTTGGTAACTTTTGCTGCTGTCTTGATGTTTTAATTAGCCAAAAGGCGGCATTGATTAATTATAGCAAGATTAAGCATACGCCACATTGGTTGCGCCTCAAAGTATGCACAGCAATTGCAGCAAATATACAGAGGAAAAGAAAAAAAAAAGCATCAAATAAGACAAGTTGGCAACGCCTCGACCCCGCCCCCGCCCCCGCTCGACATTGTATGCATAACAGCTTACGACCTATCCCCCTCCCCCCTCCCACACGCCCTTCTTTGCCCAAGTCAAGTCAAGTCAGCAAGCGCTGCCGCCATGGAAAAACTCAACTGGCGCGACTTGTTGGCGCCACAGCCACCATTTTGTCTGGCCACATAAAAGTGTGTGTGCGTGTGTGTGTATTGGTTGGCGCGTGTGCGTAGGAGTCCTATGCTCGAAAGGAATCTTAGCTTGTCGCCGATTCGTTTTGACTTTAGTCAGCATAAAGTGAAATTTTTGATACCCCGCACTTTAAGTTAGCATATGAGGTATGCAAGACATAGGGTATGCCTACGAGCAGGCGGGCATTAGATAAAACTCAATATAAGAATAAAGAGGTATATATGAATGCATATAACATGTCTTTCGGCAGGGTATTTTCGAGTCGAGCATATGCTTTTTGCACTCGCCCGTCTGATTGCTTTTCTTTTACTGCGATGTGGGTGGCGTGGTTTGCGTCCAAAGGATAACAGAATGTCACGAAGCTGCGCCAATGTGGAGCCTTTTATGTAATTTCCACAATTTTTATTTGTGTTTGCGAACAGATGACAAAAAATAAAGAAAAACACATATATATAGATATAAGGAAAAATTTGTCGCCAAACTCGTATAAATAGCCGGAGGCAAAGGCATAAAAAATGAATATACCGAATCCATAAAAACCACTGAGCAGCAGAGCCTATGCGGGGTCAATGTGATTAGAGAAGTTCCGCGCATTCAAATTTGCTGATTTACAATTTCAACTTTATCTATATGAAAATTAAATTGTGTGCGAGAAACGAACATAGCCGCAATTTACAACCGTAGGGTATTCAAAGTTAGTCGGCCATTAAACAAACTACTTCTTAGGTAGTCAAATAGGAAAATGCTCGTAAACTTTTTAAGTTTATTTTGTTGTATTTTATAGTTTATAAGACTACGCGCAATTTGTAGGCATACAAACAATATAAGATGTCTAATCGTGGGTGCTTGACTAGCAAATACCCTGTGTTCTATGCTAATACTGGGTATATTGACTAGCTGTGCATATGATAAAAAGATAAGCTATTAAAGTTTACTGAGATCGTAATGTTTATTCTGGATAAGACTCGGGTCTTGATGCTCAGCAAGAATATAAACCTTTTTAGGGTCGGAAGTGCTTCCTTCAGCCTGTTATATATATTTTGACAATAACAGTATACGCTTTTAACCCATTTCTAAAATGTTTAAGGTATACAAATCAGGGAGTTAGCTATGATATATGAAATATTCTTGCTCTATACGAAGAACATATATAACAAATGTGCTGTAACTGGGGCCTTTACTCTGGAAAAGTGCCCAAAAAAGCAGGTCTATAAACAAAGATTTAAGTTAAATGGGATATGAAAAGTCTTCAGCTTCCAAAGTTGCTGAGATCGTAGTGTTTATTCAGCCTCATAGACAGATATGTCTAGATCGATTCAGTTTATACCCCTTGCGCTGTCAAAGATGCCTCTCGCTGTCTGTTACGAACACACCTTGCACTTACAGCCCTTTTTCCCCATTATCTATTCCTTATCCCAATATAAACAGATTGCAAAAGCACTCAAGAATTATTGCTTAACCAAGTAAACTACATTATTCAACACAAACACTTTTATATATTCAGAACTTACCTCAATTCGCATTAGCCGAAAATAGTGCCAGGTTTAGTTGAAATAGTTGCAGTTGGGTTTTTTTTAGTAGAAAAATTTGTTGTTAATGGGCCTTTTTTTTAGTTGTAGAAAGTTTCGTGCTAATTGTTGTCGTTGTTGCGTTTACTTCGTTGTTGTTGTTGTTCTTCTTGTTGGTGTTCTGCTTGCTCTTCTTCTTGTGCTAGTCGTTTTGTTATTTGTTTAAGAAATCTGTAAATAAAATGAAGTACGAGTCATGAGTATGAGCATTTTGTGGCATAAATCTTTCAACAGTTGAGGTAAAATGCACTCGCAGCATCTCGCAGTTGCAGCACGCAATGCACTCAAAAGCTGTACGCATCGCATCTGAAAACGCAGTTTTCCTGTTTTCATTCTCCATATTAGCGAAGCGCGACCTCCGCGTTGAAGATGCTGCTGCCACTGGCTGGATGCATGGATGCAACATGCTGCCGGCAGCACATATATGGGCAATGCCACCAGCAGGCAGACGGGCAGCAAAGTTGCAACTGCAGCCGGAGTAGCTGCATATGTAGAAGCTGAGCTAAAGAATGTTGCACCCGACTTTTCCATTAGCGAGTTTTGTTTATAAAAATCAATCAACACCCAAAAGCCCAAAAGCTGAACAACAGCATGACCAAAATAGGCCGGCCTGGGGCCGAGGCATCGAGGCACCGAGACCCCAACTAGGAGCACTTGCAGCTGGCCAAAGAATGCGGCTCCAGCCAGAGCCAACCATTAACAAGACAGCCCAGAGATAAGTGAAACACAAAATGAGCTATTGGCCAGCATAGAGAGTTGACCTGGCCAGCTATGTGGCAGGTGCCACCATCAGCTACGACTCATTGACACCCGCAACTGAAGACAAAAGCTGCGCGTGGGCGCTCCAAGCTAAAAGCCGAAAGCGAAAATGCGACCAATTGTGGCATCAACGTGGGCTGCTGCCCAGCCACTTGACAAGTTGTTTGGCGGGTCGACAATTCGGCCTGGCTGATTGTAGGCCGATTGTTTGGCTTTGGTTCTTTAACGTTTGATAACGGCACGTAGTTAAAGCGAATACAATCTGAGACCTTGGCACGATTCTCACAATCGTTGCGGCAGCGACAGATACTCTGGGTATCTGGGTAGGCGCTGTGGCACGTACGATCCGTGGGCAGGGCTCATGATTGGATATGCTTGTTAACTACTCATATCTAAATAGTTGAGTGCTCAATTCACAAGAACAAGCTCAAGTGCGGTCTTGTTTATGAGAATGCTTGAACTGTTTGGGAATTTTAATAACATGAAGAGATAGCGGAGTTCGTCGAGGAGAGGAGAATTAAGAAGAAAAGAGAAGAAAGGCAAAATGTAGAGTTAAAGGACAATTAAAAGGGAAGGAAGAATGAATGGAAGATTGAAAGAGAAGAAAATGGACAGAAGGAGAGAGAATATTTCTATAAAAGGGATAAAGCAGGAAGATGGGAAAGAGGGGAAAAAAGCTAAACGGAAGGGTATTATGAGTATAAAGACAATAGAAGAAAAGGACCATAGAGAACAAGAATAATAAAGAGAATGAAAGGAAGGATAATAGAACATCTTATTCAATTGATCTACTTTTCCTTTTTTTTGGTCGCAGTTTTTCTTCTTATTTACAATAAGAAAAATATGGAAAAGCAGATGGATTATACAATGTCTCCCTTGATCAGATGATAGAAAATAAAAGAAAGTATACACAAAGTAAAAAATGAACAAGAAACTATAAAAATATAAGTTGAAGATAATTAAGAAATACAAGAAAATAATAACAGTCAACAGTTCGACCCATTTATAATTTCATATGCACTTTCCTTTCAAAGTTAAATCTCTCAACAAATTTAAATTGATTTTAATGCGTCTGACTAATAGACACTGTCGCTGACTGATATATCAGATAAATCACATAACGCGCGATAAATCAGAAAAAATGTATAAAAAATAGCCTGCAGAAAGCTGTTTCCAAAATAAAAAGCGAGAAGAAAACTCGAAATGTGTTGAAAAATTCACAATGCGCAAAAGCTTGGCTAACGATAAAGGCCCACAGATTTTAATTAAACCAAAACAACACGCAGCCCCTATACACAGCTAAAATCCATATCTTATATATATATATATATATGCATATATATGTGTGTGTATATGTATAGATAAACTGTAGTATAGGGGCAACTAAAAATAGACAAAATTGAACGAAACTTTTTCAAGGTAAACAAAGCATAATTCGAAGAGCAGCATAAATCTAAACGGCGAGATCCAATGGATTTTCCATGCATTCCCTCCCCCCTCGCAGAGATGTAGGGCGCATTAATGAAAGAAAACAGCATTACCTTCTCCCCCAACCCCCCTCCTCTGCGTCGTGTGCCCAACTCTTGTCACAATTTTCATGGCACACTGAAAATAGAACGACATGCAGAGCAGAACGGAGGCTGTACAAGAGATCAGATCAACTACAAAAAGCCGGCAAAGTCCACGTCTGAAGAAGGTGCGACGACATTTCAATTGATCTTTGTGTAAAACCAGGGGCCAGTCGTTGATCATGTTGATCGTCAGTTTATGATGAGGCTGGCAAATCTCTAACGCCCCCCAAAAAAGTATATACATATATATATTGTGTATTCTATGCGCAATCGTCAGACGATTTGCTTAGCTCGGGCATTAGGCATTGGGTCTGGGGGGCCTTTAATTTGATTTTTACGCGAATGACTCATCGCTGAATTTTTAGATATATTCCGTGTGTGCATTTTAGAGGTCCAAACAGATGGTCCGAACAGCAGACTCATATGTGCCGTTGAAAATTAGTTTGTGCCCCAAACACAACACAAATACAATTGATGTCAGCGGAAATTGTCGGGCTCTGACTTAATACTACGACTAGCATACAAATAATGTTTACGAAATGTGTCATAATTTGAAATTCAATTAATTCAATTCATTGAGTTTACTTCATTTGCAAATGAAGACAACGATTTGCTGGGGAGAATGTTCACAAATTAAAGGGAAGAGTTTGGATATCTGCGACACGCCGACGATTTAATGCCCTTTATAAAGATTTGCTTTTTGGAGATATATGATACTTTTGCCCGATTTTTCCTAGATTTTGCACTATGAAATGGTTAAAATTCTCATATATCCCATAAGCGAAAAATTGTATATATATACATTAAAAATTGGCAAAATGTTCGTTTAGCAAATGTATGTAAGAGACAGAAAGAAGAAAACGTCTCCGATCCCATAAAGTATATATAGTCGATATGTCTCAGTGAACGAAACTATCTCGGAAACTATAAAAGCTCGAGGCTTTAATGTTTAAATATATATATTTTTATATATCACACGCAAGCAAAATAATAAGTTGTTCGCCATTTCTTTCAATTTTTAGCATATCGAGCAACATCGATTTTGAGACAGTATTTTTTAAGAATTTCTCAAAGATTATCAGAGCTAAAGAAGTTCTAATATATTCCAGATCAAAAAAGCGCATGCTATCTATATCATATGAGAAACTATCTCAAAGTTCTTAGTTCTATGCTTATTATTGTTTACTGAATCGTTTAATTTCTATCTAGTTCTTAGCTTGTTTTCACATTCAATCAAGTCTTTCAACTCTGTTCACACAGCTGATCGTGAGTTTACAAATAATATTATCTTGTGTACATTTTAACGGGCTGCTGTTTGGTCCACAAAGATAAGATTTCGCTGGAATTTCGAAATGCAAATTGTAAAGGCAAATTAGAGCAGCGGCAAGATAAACAACTGCAACTGCTTAACCAAATAAACGCAAGAGTTTGGCCGGAGAAAGAGCGAGAGCTAGTTGGCCCACCCAAAGCCAAGTTGGGTCAACTAGACAACTGGAAGCGAACTCTGACTCCTGACTCCCGACTCCGACTTCGATATGGCAACTCCGACTGCGAGCTGGGCACTTTGGATGTAACTGCAGATAACCCCGACTGTAATTTGAGTAAACAAGACGTTGAGTCGACAACGACGACGTCGACATCGTCGTCACTCGGGCAACTCTTGTGCTGCCACACAATGGGGCACAAATTTTGTATCACTATCAACAGCAACAACAACAACAACAACAATCACAATGAGCAGTCATTGGCTCTGGCTTATTGATGGCGAAATCCAGATAAAAGATGCATTAAAAGTAACAAAATACACAATAAATAAACACAAACAAAAGCAAACAAACAAATCAAATCGAATGACGTTCAATGGCCACAGAGAAAATAAAAGACGGGCGGGTGGGTTTGTGGGTGGTTATGTGGAAGTGTGTGTGTGTGTGTGTGTGGGTGAGTGGCCTGTAATTTTCAATTAGCCTGCAACAAGGTGGCCCGAAATAAAAGGGGGTTCATCACATAATGACAACAAATTATGTCAACAGATAAACATCAGTGGGCTAATTAAAACCCCTTCTTGTGCGTGTGCCACGTGTGTATACGTGTGGGTGCGTGTGTGTGTGCATCTTGGGGCTCAGCTTAAGTCCAATTAAGACTCACTTATGCTATCAAGGCTTATGAATGCTCATCAATTGACAAATTTCTGGGCCGCCAGTCGCAGCGGCTTTCTATCAGTTGCATCTACGCAACTTTTGCTGGCAAATGTTGCGGCACTTGAGGCCAATGCCAAGACATTTTATGATTGGCTGCCAAAACGCACAGTTCGCCCCATTCCCATTCCCAGGCACTTTAATCTTCAGCAACTGTCGCTGCTGCCGGCTGCGCATCCTACTTGCTCACGGGTAGCAAAAAATTAGGCTCCCGCCAGTCGGGCTCCAATGGATTTTCGCACAAGTGAGTGCCAAAAGAGACAAACATAAATACACACATACATATGCATACATACATATGTACACTTAGAAAAAATAAGCAAGAGAATGTTTAAATGATTCTTGATATCAAAAGAACAGCATAAAACAACAAGGCTTGAAATAAGTAACTCACATGCTTATTACAAGCACAAGCTTGCCTAAAATGAGATCTGTTAATATTAAGTTCTTTTAGAAACAGAATCATATTTGCACCATACTGTGTTTCAAGTTTCAACCAAATTTGTTCCTTCATTCAAAATTGTGAAAAGTAAGAAGAAAAGAGCTTAAATTAAGTACTTAATACTTATTTTAAGAATTTGCCTACTTACAATTAAGCGTAA